GGAACAGGTTCTCCTTGTTGTTGCTGTTGTGAAGTAGGAGGTAGTTGTTGCTGTTGGCGTTGTTGCCAAACAGATGGTGGACCTTGTTGCTGCTGTTGTGGAACAGGTTCCCCTTGTTGTTGCTGTTGGTGTTGTTCCGAAACATTTTGTTTTTGTTTCCGGGATTTTTTTCCAGATCGTGTCATCTGTAGCTGTTGGTATTGTGGAATATATGGTCTTTGTTTCGCCTACTGTTGCTGTTCCTGTTCCAGCTCCTGTTGTAAAGAAGATAGTTATTCTTGTAACTGTTTCTGCTGTTACTGTTACAGAGTAGCTTCATTCCTCTCGAACCCCTATCAATGGAGTTGTCTTTCGGAATCGAAACCTCGAGGACGTACAACGAACCGAATGTCTTTCACGTAGAACAGAAAACAACTAAACCCTTATAGCTACGAGAAACTTCAGGTACACGAAGAATAACGTACTGATCGGATAACGCCTCACGGATAGATCCGTCGATAGATTCGCGTGCATGCGACTAAACATATGCGAGATGGAAAACGAGATGTGTGTTATCGAATAAAACTTATTATAACACCCACTTCTATCTGAATGTAAAATACAGGTATTTTTCGGTTATATCTTCATAACCGTTAAAGAAACCGCTACACTACAATACCGGTATGAGGTCATACTGATATATTTTAATCTACATTTACCGGTATTATTTCGGTTTTTTATTTTCTTATCAGTGAAGAATATTTTCGTAAGAATAGATGTGTTTCCACCGAGAACGGTCTCACAGGCAATCATGAATGAGAGTGGCAATGATTTCGAAGAAATGACAGTATATATTTGCCTCCCAACGCTTATTTTGTTGCTCAACTACATAATAAATGCAGCGACAAATTTCTGTTTGTGCGTTTTATTGTCCCTCGCCGCTTTCATTGTTGATTGCAGCTCCAACGTAAATGTATTTTTAGTCTTCAACCGTAGTACATCTAAAAAAACCGGAGAAATACCGGTATAA